TTTTCCATATAGCTCTTTGAATCTGCTTCATGCATTCTATTTCTTTCTTATATTGCTCATTTAAGGATTCCATCATTTTTCTATTCTCAACTTTTTATCAGTGTCTTCTTTAGAAGCACTTAGTACTTCTTTCATTATAGTTATCATTTCTTTTTTTACTTCAGAATTTATTTCTGATCTGATTTGCTCTATAGTTTTTTGCAGTTGTTTCTTTACTTCCGATGCTATTATTTCAGAGATTTCAGGTGTATGATTTCCAATTTATTCTATACTATTGTCTCCTGCATTTGTTCTGGGTGGGCTCAGGGCCTGAGAATGCATTTTGCTCCTTCTCTTTGTCATTTTGTATAGCACTGTCTCATGACCTTTGGTGTACAGCTTTGGTACAGTTATTACCTTAGCACCAGGTCTGGATCTACCAAGTTCAGACTCGTCCAGGTGGGTGTGGCTTGGGTCTGGCTGCTGTGCTCCACTTCTTGCTGCAGCCCGTTGAGGTGAACCCACTGTATCACTCTGGCAAGGTGTTCTGCTCCTGGATCAGCTGGGTGGGTCTTGCCTTTAGCCTCTCTGCAGAGAGTTCTGCCCCAGGGTTCCACACTGGGTCTGTCTGATGGAAGAAGTTCCACCCATGCTGGGTGTGGGCTCTGGGTTGAATGAGGATCCAGGGGTCCCAGGCAGTCTCACTCACAAGCCGTACCTGGGCTCTAGGTCGAACAAGAATCCAGCGGGCCCTGGGCAGTCTCACTCACAGGCTGGGCCTGGGTCACATGAGGTTCTGGCAGGCCCGTGTGGTCCCACTCACCTGGGTGCACTTCATTTATTATATATTGGGTTTCATATATGGGAACGTGCAATAGCTTGCATGTCTGATTTACTTTACTTAACAGAGTGATTTAGTTCACTTTGCTTAATACTAACATTTACTTTACTAACATCTCAAGATGCATTCATCGCCCTACAAATGACTCAAGTCCACCTTCTCTATGGCAGAGCAGAACAGTGTGTGATCAATAGTTAGTGATGCCACATAGGAAGTGCAGAGTAAAAGACATGTTACAAGGGGGTAGGGGTGACAGGAAACAGTGTGACCAGCACAGGGTGGAGCAGGAATGGCGCCACAATTAACTGAGGTCTGAGCTTGCCAGAAGAAAAGAGACAGAAGACACTCTAGAATGTCTGTGCCCCACCTGTAGTAATAGTGACATCCTATTTATAGAACTTTTAAAAGTTAGAGGCATATAAAATGAGTAAGTAGAAAACCTACTGTTGGGAGTTAATACTGTTTAGAAACTACTGGCTAAATATACACATGCCTAGATATGCAGGTAAAGAAAATTTATATAACTTCTTTCTAAATAATTTGTCACACATGGTATGTTCCATTTGAGGGAAATTAGAAATGAACAGCTGAAGCCTAAGGAGTAACGAAATAAACTTTAGTAAATAAATGTACAGCTAATAAAAATAGTAGGAATGATACCAGTGCTTAATCCCCCAAGAAACAGGAGAGTAATTTAGAATCTTTATGGGTAGCATCCCTTTTAAATAAGAATGGCATAAAACACCTTCAGGGATTAGGGATATACTCAAGAGACGAAAAATAGACATTCATTACAGTCTACTAAAAGAAATAAAAATCAACAGAAGTGTAGTAAATAAGAGACAACTGATGAAAAATAACAAAATTATGAGTACAAACAGAATCATATTTAATTTAAAAACTAAAAGTAATCATAAACAACTTATTAGGCGTCACAGAAAATAGGACTTATTTTTCCTGGGGCCTAAGCAACACATCACATTCACAATCCTGGGCCTGCTGATCTACACCATACTTACCAGAAGGAGTAGTTCTTCCTTATTGGTAAACACGAGACTGACTTCTAAACTAAAAGCAGTAACTTTAAGAGATTTGTCAAATGGAAGCCATTAAATGATCTGCTTCAGTTTAAGCAATGCCACCGCAAGGACAGCACAGACCAGTGACAAGAGGAGCAGGGACATGAACGGCACCCTGGTCCTGAGGCCACTTAGCCTCTTGGCATCATCTGTGTGGCCTCACTCTCTTCTGTCCTCATGCAGTCCAGAAGCTCTGCCTTCCAAAGTGTCTTACACGAGGCCACCCATTGCTGGTAACTCATTATGTGGCATGAGCTTTATGTTTCCTTCTTGCATAGGCAGACGTGGATTCAAATGTTCAAATATATA